CTTCAGAAAGGGATCCTTAGACCAGCTAAGCGATCCAGGGATTTTCATTGATTGGAAAGGTCACGTGACCTGGATCTTTTGGATCGTAATAATCCACGATCCAGGAGCGTAGATCTGCATGATCCAGTACGATCCACGAACATGAAAGGATCTATATAAGACTGGCACGTCTGTCATTAGATAGGAGCTTCGTGCTCAACTTAGTTATCAATCTTATCATATTAGTTTGACATCTTTGATACAAGTAACGAGTTCACTGCCAAGTGAACAACCCGATAGTCTTCTTCTTATCATAGCATACCAACCAGCGAACACCCAGCCAAGTTTAGTTAGCCAGTTTGAGTATTTTAGATTAGAATGGTTTATAGCCTTAAAATCGTATTATAATCTAGTAAGCTAGCGTATAGTGAGTATAGTCCTATATATAAATTAGTAGTTGTTGTAGTGCTAACAGCCCACATTCTATTCCTCATTCTACACCTACCAGCCCACTCTTTCCGCACCCCCCCCAGGACATAACAAAAGTATATTAGGGAATAGATTATCATATTTGCTACTACCATAATAGTAGTCCTCAAATCTATAGTATGGCGATTACAATAGTCTAATTGACCAAAACACATATTTGGGGGTTACCATAGCACAGAACTCGTCCAGAAATGCCTCAGCTCCGGTTCATCACTTGTAATTGTTCCCTGTGGTCCTTCAAAGCATGCAGCCAAAGAATGTCGAAATTGATGAAAATGGGACGCTCGGGACACAAAGTACACGCCCAAGTCTTGATCGACTTTGCATTTCGCCGTTGATGCTGGATCCAAAGCTAGTCCATCCTCAACCTCTGCGGCTTTTGCTGTTGAAGACTCATGTTTGACACTCTCGTTCTTCGAATCGCACAGTAAGAGTATTGAGTCTTGAGGGGATCCGCGAGGTATAATTAACTGACTGTGGTTATTATCAAAGACCAGACTTGCCTTCATAATACTGGTGTACCGACAAGAGGAAACAGAGAATGAAGTTGTGTTCAAGCTTGATGACCGAGGGAATAGAGAGCATAATTCAAGTGCAAGCTGCGTTTGAATAGGACCCCCTGCCAGCTTCATAGCCTCTGGAGGTAGTGTCCTCAAGCTGACACAAAGGCTGTCAAGTGACGATAGAACCTGAACCGCAACTGCACTTCCTGATATATATATCCGATCAACCCCCCGTAACCAAACACCTCTTTCACTGGTATGAATAGCCTCTTTATCGCCTTAGTACAGATGGATTAAATGACAGATGGTGAAATATCAAGGCTACGTGAACGAAACAAAGCATCAAGAGCCTAATCTAAGTACTGGCATAGGGTGAGCGACGGTGCTTCATTGATTGTAGCAGCAGAAAGCGCTCGCATTATACAAAACTTCTGCCCACAGCCCAACTGCTCTCAGATATTCCGTTTGCAGAGCAAGAGAGACTGGCTAGGTATGAGAAAAACATATTCCCGAGGACTTTCAGTCGAGCATTAGGAGCTTGGATACATAGTAGCGCCAGGACGAAGAGCCAAGAAAGTTACGTCGCAGAAAACAAGAGCTTAGAAAATATATTGGTTTGTGGATTTCGATTACGGCACTTGCCTGTTCTCGATCCCCAACAGCTAACATATTTAACAAACAGAAAATGTACTTGACGAAACTCCGAATTGTCCAACTGCCTCATTTCCTCAACGATCCCCCACCTCCTCTCGTACTCGTCGCCTGCGTCAGCTTCACGTTTGCGATAATAGCGTCTCGACATTCACATAGGAAAGATAGATATCAGGATCATATAACAGGAACGGCGATTCTGGTGGGCTTATCAATCTCAATCGCGCTGGATGATCTCCTCGTACTGAAGGCCTTGCTTCCGTGGTGCACTATTGGAGGGTTATTCTTGAGCTGGGTCGTCCATCGAATAGTGAAGCAAATGGTCATGTGACCAGCTTATGTCATACCAGCCACTATAAGTCAGTTCTCCTTCAGAGTTCTAGCAAATGAACCATCACCTTAATATATTCGTTTTTATCTTCAGCATCTACTCCACCTTGCTGTCTCAATATGGCCACGAGAGGATGACGACGAGCCGGGGTCTGGAACAAGAGGGGAGAACTTGGAGCATACGGATGGATTTGACTGAGAAGAAGGGGTTGAGCATGAACGAAGTGGTTCACGAATCAAGGAGGTCTGTGTGAGCTAAATTGGCTTGTAAGTTGGGCGATTTGACGGATTGATACTTTATTGCGTACCTTACCTAGTGCATTGCCATCAAAATGCCATCTCGTTCCCACATATCGCCATAGCAGGTTCCCATTGTAGTTTCGTATACTGAACATAAGAAGTACCAATTTTAATACCACTTGTATTCAGCTTTCGAATAGCTTCACTTTAATGGACCAAAACTTAGTGAATTCAGCAATGTAACAAGTAGAACTTATCTTGGACTCGAACAAGGTCCAACACATTGGATTGTTGGACTATTTCAGAAATTATTAAGTCTCTAATATGGTCTAGCTGAATAATCATACATAAAAAAAACATATTTTGATACCCTGGGTGGGATCAAAAAACGCGTGAGCCTGATATAATTTCGGCCAAGAGAATCATTCTAGCTCATAACTTCTCTTGCCCTCTTCCACATATATTTGTTATCTAGTAAACAAGTATCAAAGACCAAGATGTCATGATGAATAGTTACACAATCTCAAAATCCTGTGAAAACTTTGCTAATACTCTCAAAAGAGTTCTAGAGTACCGAAAGTCGAGATGTCTAGCATCTCTGTCTTAGGTCATTTCCCAGCTACCGCGAAGGCAATTGTTCCTTACCACCTAATTCATATTAAATTTTCATATAACACCAATCGTAACATAATCTTTCCTGACTATGGCCCTTCCCTTCTCAATAAACTGCAACCGAAAGTTGTCTTGGCACCCCTGTCAATGAGTTGCAAGCAGTAGGAAACACAATATTGACCCAAAGAAAAAAGAAGATCCTCAGCTTTCTTTGTAATAATTTGACTCCCATTCACAATCGCCAGTCATACGATTCTCAGATCGCAAATCAATTCTGCCCAAAATGGCAACTCCTAAATATTGCGTTTAGTAAGCGACCTACAGCTACCCCACCGTCGTCATCACCATTACACATAACCCCACCATTCAACGTCAACACATCCACCATCCGATCAATAATCGAGTAAGTCGAACGTCTTCAACACATGTAAAACGTCCCATCCATCACTTCTGATGATAATTTACAAGTTTTGATCTTTCAATTGACATCCAATCCGAGTAGTCACTACACCATTAATATTTCGCCCAGCAACTCACCATGGCAGAAACCATGTTAGCAGTCGGTTCGTCTACTTCCTTACCTTAGCTCCCCAAACTTTATATCCGGGTAGTTCTAACTTCCCCCAGGAATAAAAAACTCCCGCGGACCCGCTTCATCCCTCTTCCATGATCGCATCCCCAAGCCCGTTCCCTCCGCAGGCGAAGCCCTCGTGGCTATTAAAGCCTTCGGACTCAATCGAATGGACCTGATGCAACGAGAAGGACACTATCCCGTACCTGCAGGCGCACCTTCAACCCTCGGCGTGGAATTTAGCGGAGTAATTCAGTTGCTTGGCCCCGAGAAAGAGGGGTTTGAAGATAAGAAAGAGGCGTTCAAGGAGGGCGATGAGGTTTTTGGTCTAGCGTATGGAGGGGCATATGCGGAGTTCATTGCTGTTAGTACGCATATGCTGATCCACAAGCCTAAGGGGCTGGGATGGGTTGAGGCGGCTGGAATTCCCGAGGTGAGTTATGGTACATATCTTGACAGTTACAGTTGCAAGACTAGAGAATGGGAACTAATGAGAACTTTCTCCAACAGACCTGGATTACAGCAACCCAAGCCCTGCATTTAGTTGGCTGCTTCACACCAGGAAAATCCGTTCTCTGGCACGCCGGCGCATCCGCAGTCTCCATCTCGGGAATCCAGCTATCGAAACTCGCGGGTGCCTCGCAAGTTTTCGTCACAGCGGGATCACAGGAGAAAATCGATTTCTGTGTAAGCACTCTAGGAGGAACAGCAGGATTCAACTATAAAACCCAAAACTGGTCGCAAGAAATCATGGCCGCCACGAATGGCAAAGGCGTCGACATAATCATCGATTTTGTTGGGCCCTCCTACTTTCAGGGTAACTTGGATACTGCGGCGGTTGATGGGAAAATCGTGAATCTTGGGTTCTTGAGCGGAACCAAATTACAGGCGGGAGTGGACATTGCGAAGTTTGTGACGAGACGGATTCGGTTTGAGGGAAGCAGCTTGAGGAGTAGAGACTTGACGTATCAAGGGAGATTGAGGGATAAGCTTGATGAGTATCTGGGAGATTTCGAGAGTGGGAAGTTGAGGATTTTTGTGGACAAAGTCTTTAAGTGGGAGGATGTTGTGAAAGCTCATGAGTATATGGAGAAGGATGCTAGTATGGGAAAGATTATTTGTACAATTGGGGAGATCTAATGATAATCTGAATGGCAAGACGATGGGATGGGAGGGAATCTTGGGATAGTATTGAGATGCTGGCATCTTGAATTCTGACAGTGGTGAAAAAGGGAATATGAACTGGATATTTGGAACTTATGCTTGAATAGGGAATAATGAGAATGGACTTGACCAGTCCTAAAATGAACATGTCAAGGGCTTGTCGGACGATTTGTAGGCTATGCATACCCGTAGTGGCACATTCTTAATATCACACGCTTTCCTTTTACTCTATCCAACTTGAATGGATCTAACACAACACTCCAGCCAAGGTAATGTATAGACGCCCATCTCAGTGGACTCATAATTCTCAATCAAACAGAATGAATAACATTATCTCAAATCATTTAACAAAACATCCCTAACCGTCTCTACTAGAAAAAAAGTTACTTTCACTTGCCTCCTATGTATCCATTATCCAAGCCATTACCCAACACCATCCAAATTAGCCACATCAAAGTTCTAAATGAAATGAACCATTCTCCTAACCCACCCTTAATACCACTTCAGTTGAATCCAACATTGCCCTCTATTCCTCTCAAAAACACTACACTAGGCCCATCAAATCCCAGGCCCTAGCAAAAGTTTTAAATACTTGGTAACATCAAATGGCACTTATTGCCTTAACATACTCTAGTTCACTCTGTTGATCTGGCTCAGAACCTACACCTGTGTATCCTAAATAATGAAGTTATTCTTTGGTCCCTTCTACACACAGCTTGATCTAAGTGTAGTAGGTGGCTGGTTTTAATGAGGTCTACAAAGAAGAGCTTTATTGGCAAATATGGGGGTTTAAAATGTGAAAGCATACATGGAAAGCTGATGAACCTATATTCTCCTACCTGATTAAGTAGGGTCTATTGATTTAGTAACTACTAAGGTAGTAATATAGAACATATACTCGTAAGACCAATACAACTTTAAACGCGCAACACACCTTTGTGTTAAGTATATTCGAAACCACTACGAGTAAGTGATGCAGAGATATCAAACCATCACGGCAGTTTGGGACAGTAGTAGCTGTTTTATCAGAACTTTAATTGGGTACGTATGATTCTTGGATACATTTCGTAGCCAACTTATATTGTACTGTACATCCAACTCCTAATCGCAACATGTGAAACCAACAAAAGTCACACACCGTCTCTTTCCTGTTATACACGCCCTATACACAAACACAAGAGCGCTCACGATCATCAAGAAAGCATATCCAAAAGAATAGCCATTCCCTCGACACCCTCCCACTCATCCAAATTCCCCTCTTTTCCCTTTCACCCCCAAATCCTCAACCTCTCATTTCTCATCCGCATCCCAATCTAGCAGCCATAAATCCCCTTAACCAGATTTACCATTGTTACATAGACACACGTATGTCTGAGTATCTTTGTCGCATGAATACTTGTTGATGCCCCCGTTGTCACTACAGTCGATCTCACAACCTTCTCTTAGCAAGCACACTTTTATAAGTTTTGGCGGTGGTTCGGCTGCTGCTGCGAGGGTGGTGGCAGCGAAGGTTAGGACGAGGAGGGATGAATGGAGACGCATTTTTGGGTGGATGGCGAGAGAAATGGCGATAGAATGCGTGTTGTGTGAAGAGGAATCAAGGTTTTTATCCTTGTTTCTTTTTCTGGGAGGGAGAGTGAAGATTGTATGGAGCTATAAGGCGATGACGCTGCTTAGATCAAGGGTTCGAAATAGTCTCCTCGAAGTGATCGATCGACGGGAAAAGTTCAAAAACGAGGTAGCCTCTGCGGTGCTAGAATACCCTATATATACTATATGTACAAGCAATACGAAGGGCCATGCTGTAGGGTTACATACGCGAATCCGAAAATCTATAAGTACCAGTACGTGAAGGGGGTGGACAGTCAATGCTAGACACTGTCACGTAGATCATATGTGAAAAAAGTCTATATCGCCCACATATAAGTCTTTGATTCGCTGGTTTAGCTAAAAGGCGGGGCCGAGACGTACTATGATCAGCGACAGTGTCCAGCATTGACTGTCCACCGCCTTTACGTCAACCCAAGCCTAGGTAAGAAGTCTTCAAGTCGGGACGACAAACTCAAAATTACAGGTATATATAAATTTACCTAGATAACACCGAAGGGATATAACTTCATCCAACGCCTAGCAAACGTAGAAAGTAGTAAGATTAATATATTTTCCGTAAAGTAGAGCTATAGGGTAAACCCTTCTGTAACCTATAACATTTACGATACCTAGGCACACTTGTACCCGTACAGTATAATGTTCTTTGATGTCCTTCATCCCAAGCGAAATAAATATAACTATTTCAAAGGTGTTCACCCCATCACTATCCTTAGCCCACGCAGAAAGATTTCATCCAATCCTCCTGGGAAGAAGTATCCAAACGGCCATGCGCGCCTACAGTAAAAAATAGGCAGGCAAGGATATCCAGAGAACTCTAACACGAACCTACCTAGGTCCTGAAACGTAGGGATTCCCAAGAAGTCTGGTTCCGATAAAATATGTCGTACAGGTTTTATAGGAGAGAAACACGCCCAGGAGATGGTTCCAGGTTGTAGCAAGTACATACAGAACCAGCGTAAGGAAAGCGCTTTACAATCACTTCTAGTCCAGTATCTATGGAAATCTCAGAAGGTCGATCACGTGTTTGGTCAATCACGTGCCCCAATCGCCGAGGACGTCCATGGATATTTATATTACTCCCACCTACTCCTTACCTACCTACTCCCTACCAAAAAAGCCAAAGCCAGATCTTTTCAGTGCCAGGTAACACAATAAAGTACTTACCTACTCACTCACTCCCACAAGCTCCATTATTTTTAAAGTCTCGCTAAATACAAAATAAACAATAATACAATATCCCCCGTGGCCAAAAAGTACAGTATAGTACCTACCGGTATCGCGGTGGGCTACTTTCGGCTTTATGAGATGGAATGTGATAGAGATAATGGGAGGGAAAATTAAGAAGGAAGGAAGGATAGAAGGGTAGAAGGAAAGAAGGAATCAAGGAACTCCCGTACGAGGAAGAAAAGTGGATGGATGTTATAGAACCAACACATGAGACAGGTAAGATGGGAAGAGAGAAAAAAAGGGCGATGAATCTTCAGAGAAATAGTTGATTTTATCTCTAGCATTGCGAAAAGAAGGAAAGAAGATCTACATAGCTACTGTATTTTGATTTTGCCCTCACCCAAATCGAAGACCCACAAAGGAAAGAAAAAGAACGCCAATAAAAATGCAAATCAAGCAACCAAATTCATCATGAAATCCATTTTTTCCCTAATTGAATTACTGCTGCAGGGCGGCTCTAGCCTGTCTCTCAACCTCATATGTAAAGTCAAAGTATCCCTTGTCGAATTGATGTACACGCACATATCCATCCTCCCCACCACTGGCATATCCCTTTCCTTGCGGGTCAACGGCGACGGTGTTCAAGGGACCGAAATGACCTCTGACTCTACCAATCTCCTCCTCGAAAATCTTGTGGTAGAAACGGGCTTCGAATTTACCTTGTCGGGTGGAGGTGGTGGTGACGTCCATGGCGGCTTGACCACCCCCGAGGATGACGAAGTCTTTCTTTGGGGTAATAGAGGCGCTGTTGAGAGGTGTGTCGGCTGGGTATGTTTTGAGAACTTCTAGGTCTTTCGCGGTGATGAGCTTTAGGTTTTTGTCAGTTTCAGCATTTCTAATGAACGTGGGTTTCGGGTTACCTTTGCGGTCTTGTCTTTGGAGGCGGTAATGAAATATGTTCGGTCTGGGGACCATTGGAGATCTGTAATGAGCATGTCGACTTCATGAACCTGGGTGTTGTCGAGTTGCTCTCCACTCTGGGGATTTAATCAGCACTGCTGCAGTATCTAATCCGCCATGAATTTCCCTACCTTTGCATCGTATTGCGACACAGTTCCATCTTCGTGACCAGCAATAATGTATTTTGACATATAACTCCAGCCAGCAACAGTAGCCTTAGCATCCTCGCAGGTAATGGTCATTCTCTTCTCGCTGGTTTGCTCTCCCTCAGGATCAAGGTTGATATCCAGAACTACGATCGTCCCTAAGAAACCCATACGCTTTTCGGTGACAGCCAACAGTTGTGATCCATCCTCGTTAAACTCGACTCTCTTGACTGCGGTATCAAAATCCCATACGTTTAAGCACCTTCCACTCTTGATGTTCCACAGTCGAACGGTGTTGTCTGCAGCGCCACTAGCGATGAGTGTACTCGTTGGGTCGACATCGACGGTCCACAAAGCTCCCTGGTGACCATGGTATGTCCCTAATCGCTCTCCGTTGTGTGCGTACCATCCGCAAATGTGCTGATCCTTGGCTGTTGAAAAGATGAGATCACCATCTCTGTTATATCTGCGAAGGGGTCAGCTCAGATATTGTGCGCCGGTGGTGGGAAGTTGGCGCACTTGATTTGTGTGAGGGCACGTTCCTATGATGCTTGTTAGAAAATGATCAAAGGAACTCGAGATGGCGGCATCTTGGGGAGAGTAGTAACTCACGTGTCCTTGAAGCAGAATGGGCCTCATGTTTGCGATTCTGGTATGGTGGGTAGAATATGAGGTCGGGGGGTGCGGGGGTAGTTGTACTTCTTTTCGCAAGGCGGCTCAGCGTCTGCGCTGCGAACTTTTGGGTGGGGTGGGGTGAAGCAGTGAGGGACGAATGTTGAAATGTTTGGTCGTGGGCAGCGCAGCCAATCAGCGGGGGCCGGCTACGGGTAAGGCCGCTAATCCTCCCGATCCGACCCCGACCTTACCCCTGTACGAGAGATGCACTGGGCTGGCTGATGGCGCTGAAGAGTCAGAAATCCAACACTTCCACAGCCCAGACTCATTAGGTAAGATGGGAATTGACTCACGGAAGTCATCGAGTTGCCGCGTTGACGATCGCTCTGAACGGCTTCAATTCTTTCCGTTATAAAGACTCATTTGTGTGACTCTTAGACTCGCGGAATAGCGGCGCTTGCCCCTATTCTCATTCTCACCAGCATCCGACATCGACATGCTTATGCGAGGACGATGGCGTAGTCAATTCCCCAAACCATTGGGTTCGCCATCATCTCGATTTGCATCCAAAGATTCACCAACCAGACAGAAAGTCAATTGGTTGCATATCAAAAATTGCCCCTGGACACCATCTGGCCTTGCGGTCTCTTGCTGTGGCACTCGGGAATTCTCCGGTTCAGCCTCGTTACATCAGCATACTGCAGTGGTAGCCCCGCGGGATTCATTCACCCCCACTTGCAGCAGCCCAGATACCTCTTCGCCCTTTTCTAGTCCTCCTGTATCAACATCACCAAAAGCTCAGAAAGTAAATACCCGGACGAAATCCAACATGACGGCCACCAAAATTGATGGCACTGCCATTGCAAAGGCAATTCGTGCGAGGTTACGTTCAGAAATCGAGGAGACTCAAAAGACGGATCCAAGCTACAAGCCCTCCCTCAAGATCATCCAAGGTATGCCCCGCATTCTTTGGTATCAAACATAGTCGCTGATTCTAGATTTTTAGTCGGTGATAGACCCGATTCTAGTAAGTTGCAATAACCGGGAGTTTATAGATGTCTTGGGCTTAACAAATCATAGCTACCTATGTCCGCATGAAGTTAAAAGCTGCCCAAGAAGTACATATTTCCAGTCCTGTTCCGCCAAAATGATACTGACTAATCCCAGGCCAACATTGACTGCGAGCTCGTCCAATTTCCTGAAACTATCCCCCAAGCCGACCTCCTCGAGACATTAACCCGCCTCAATAACGACCCCTCCGTCCACGGCATCCTCGTCCAACTACCCCTTCCAAACACCATCTCCGAAAACGCCATCACTTCCGCGGTATCAGATGAAAAAGACGTCGATGGATTCGGCACAAACAATATAGGCGAACTCGCAAAACGCGGCGGCCACCCCTCATTCATTCCATGTACGCCAAAAGGCGTCATGGTACTCCTCCAAGAAACGGGTATTGACCTCAAAGGAAAACACGCTGTTGTTCTTGGCAGAAGTAACATCGTTGGAAGTCCTGTCAGCTATCTCCTTAAAGACGCACACGCCACCGTTACTGTGTGTCATTCGCATACTGTTGGGATTGAAAATATCGTCAAGCTGGCGGATGTACTTGTTGCTGCTATCGGAGTTCCTAATTTTGTCAAGGGGGAATGGCTGAAGCCTGGGGCGGTGGTTATTGATGTTGGAACCAACTCAATTGAAGATTCTACCAAGAAGTCTGGATGGAGGCTTACTGGTGATGTAGACTTTGCGTCTGCATCTGAGGTTGCCTCGTTTATTACACCAGTCCCAGGTGGAGTTGGACCCATGACTGTGGCCATGTTATTGCAGAATGTTGTCGACTCGGCTACTGCACATTCCAAGAAGCAAAAGGCCTGAGTTATTGTAGCATTCTATCACTATGGTGTTCACTATCAGGTTAGAAAATCTTGTTTTTATATTACCCAAGATAGATTTGGGCCTTTCCTACAAGTAGATGATCCCATCTCATCTCCATTCAATTGTATAATATTGTATCCTTTCCATACCTCATCAAAGGAAAAAACAGACTGAATATTTTTCTGATGGATAAGTCTTCGGATATTGTTCGTACTCCCTTCACCTCTTCCGACTTCTGTGCTTGGAGTCTTCGGATTGATAGTTTACTTACTTTTGGGGAAGACGCTTTTGAAATTAATTATAAAGTAGTTTGTTCTCTATTTCAATGCATTAAGCGATTCTAGTTTCTGAAGACTTTTAATCAGGTGGTTGCTAGTTGTTTACGGCTACGGTATAGCGAAGTACCCGGTATTCCTACTTACGAAGAACACGTTGAAAACTGAGGGTAGGTTCTAGGTGAAATAAGTATCGGTTTGCTAGGATAGATGAGGGTAGTACTGGGTAGAGTATAGAACCCCTTTGAAATTATACTTTTATCGTCCATTCATTACGTTATAACAGAGGCTTATTGTTGATTTCTTATATTACTAGCTAGCTTTAAATACTTGGACTTCTTATATATTATAGACTAATTAGAAGGCTCTATTTAGTATAAGTTATATTTATCTAGTATATTTAAATTAACTAAGTTTTTTTTAAAAAAGGATAAGTAATAGATTTAGTAGTAGTTATTATTTAGTTCTAGTTTTAGTATAAATCCTAGTAGTAATACTATAAAAGGGTCGTCTTCTATAAGATCTAATATTTATACTAGTGTGACGGTTCTCACCGCCACCACGCTACAGACCAGCCCTGGCTGGAACCCGCCGGCCACCATGCGTCAAACGAGCCCCTGGCTGAGACTCGGCTAAGGCATGGCCCTTGGCGCCACCTCCTGTATTTAAGAGCCTCTGGCTCTTCAGCTTCTGTCCTTCCTTCTCTTCTCTCCTTAGCTTAGAATCTTCGAATAGACAGTTCTACGATTCCATAACCTACACCTTGGACGCTCCTTGAGCAACATATCGTACGTGTCGTCACAACTAGCTTACTTTATAGATCCTTCTTAATTTTAGAGGATAATAACTTAGGGAATTCGTAAGCTAAAGATAAATTTGAAGATATTTAATAGATTTCTAGGCTTTTATAGCTAATAAGAGTACTATGTTATAGTATTTAATTAGTTATATTTAAAAAAAACTAGGTTAGGATATTAGTATAAAAGCTTATTTTATACTAAGTAATTTAAGAGAGATAGTAAGTTATATAAAGGAAGCTTTAATATATTAATAATTTAAAAATATATTAACGTATTTATAGATAAAGGTATAGAAAAATAAGTAAAAAATAGTAAACATTAGTATAATAATATAGAATTATTTATAATAGACTATACTATTAACTAAACTTGTACTCCTACACTAATACTTTAACCCTTTTTCTTCTCCTTATCCTTTCTTATATTCTTACTACTACTACTACTACTCTTATCTATAGTACTATTATAACTTAGATAGATATAAGGATATAATAGGTTATTATAACTATTGCTATAAGTTTCCTTAAAATACTCTTATATTACTATATCTTTATCTTTAGAGGCGTTATCTCTAGCTAGACCGGAATCTCTACTACTACTAGAGTTACGTTTAGTATAATAGTACTAGTCAATCTATATCTTAGGAATCTATTATAAATTAAGACCTTATAATCTTCCGCGGGTAATAATTTATTTATACTAAAACAAAGCTAGGTATATAATCTCTATCTAAATCTAAACCTCTACTAATTATATAATAGTATTAGAGTAATTACTTAATTATAATAAAAGGCTAGCTTATAGAAATAAGGGTAAGAATAACTAGATTATATATACTATATAAGTATTAAAATAATAAGCCTATTTTTAAGGATTATTACTATATAGTTTAATAAACTTTCTCTCTTTTATCTTCTAGGGCTTAGACTCTCTATTAAATAAAATATTACCTTTATTATCCTAGAATAAAAGAGCGCTAGAATCTAATAAGTAGAGGTTAGTAACTTTAAAAGTACCTTTTATAATCTAAAGGATATATTTATAATACTCTTGTCACGAATTACGTGTTCACGTGATACTTGTCATAATAAGAGGCGCAACCCTCGACAGGCACATTCAGATTTCTTATAGCAAATGGGGATCGCTTAGGGTAGCTAGGCGATCCAAGGATTTCTTCCTTACAGAAGATCATGTGACTAGGGAGTATGAGGAAGTA